CAAAAAATCACACTCAAACATCACCTAATGAGTCAAATCGGCCCATATGTGTTTTGATCGTGTGTTGATAAAGCCGGTTTCTGATTGGTCAAAAATCTTATGACAAAGCCCGTGCTTTTCCCAAAAAAATTTATAAATCAATAAACTTTCCAGTTCTTGATCCTAAAAAAATCACATATTTTATAACACCCTTATTCAAAAATTTTATAAATTTTCTCTATATAGTGTATGCGTAGAATGTAAACAATCTGGGTACTTTAAACAATACTGTACAGTATTACAAGCAATCGACTTGGGCATAGTCGACTAAGCTGATTTTTAAATATCAACTTAGTCGAGTAGGTCGACAGCAAACATTAAATACTAACGGTTGTAAGAAAATAATAATTGCAATAAATATTAGAGCTGTAAGCCAATAATAAAAATTAGTTTAATAACATCAATTATTCGAAACGAAGCGGACTCAATAAATAACTCAAATTCCCAAAGGATCATAAAAAATAAGTTTGTACATAGTATAACGAATCTGTCAATTTACCAACTACAGTCCGTGAAAAATAAGTCATAGTTTTAAATTAATAAAATACACAATATGGCAATCTGGTACTCTCATGCAAATCAATATAAAATAAATCATCGATAGTTCATTCATGCTTGAAACTTAATATCTTCCAAAACGGGAATAATTTCTTCCCATAATTCAACGCCCTGCAATAAATATAGATAGATTCTTTTTACAATAAAAAGTAAAAATGTAAATTTATTAGCAGGATAAATTATTCAATTACCTGACGATAAAATTCGACGTGGCTGTCAGCATATGCAAGTAAACAATCCTTCATCTCAATATTCTTGGCGATTTGAAATATCTCGTATTCTTTAGCAACTTCTAAGGAAAATTGATCAGAAACATCATTGCTATTCTCAACTTCTTTCTTGAGCTAGATAATAAAGCAACAGTTAAATTCATTTTATCGCCTTTATAGGAATATAAATAATCAATAAAATAATATATAGTTGCCTCAGCAATTTTTGCATCAAGCTTTTGCAAGCGTTCTCTTTTCGCTTGCTCTTGATCTACACCCTTGATATTATCAACTGTTTCACGTAAAAAGGAAGATATACCGGTAGATGATTTGCCAGTGTTGACAAGATTATCACGTTCCATAATAGCGTTTTGTAAGTATTCCGAAAGATCTTCAAAATCAACT